ATTGAGCTATTTTTATTTAATTTACTCATAGTTGGGGGACTAGTGTGAAGATGGCCCCCCAAATTTGTTTTGTTAATAACTTTTTTACTAGAAGTGTGCAAACGAAAATTTGAAATGTGCATACATGTGCAAACAATGAGCAATCGAATGAGCTATAGAAACTTTATGTTTTTCAATGTTGAGGGCTATCTTCACACAGGTTTGAAACTCTGTGGTTCATCTATCCTCGGTGAGATGTCTACCGGTCTTTAGGAACACCACTTGACATAAGCCAAGGAGGATATCAGCCATATTGTTGAGATCAACGCAACATGAAAACTGCGCGTTTCCCCCCGCGGTCGCGAATCAGTCACCTAACCAACATCGCCGATCCCGACTGATAATGTTTATCAATATTGGGATTTGACATATGTTACATGAACAGCGTCAACGTCATCGGGCCTCAACAACCTACCTATCTCTTCCGTTGACGTTCCGCACGATGCATCTCGGAGTTATGCTGTTAATGTGATAGATCGTCGCCAAAGAAAATTGAACGTTGGGGGAAAAAAAATGACAACTGGCCAAAGTGGGCACGATCATTCTCTCGCTATTAGACAGGAAATACAACGTTTCGAGAGCGTACACCCCTCGATATATGCTATTTACGATCTGATAGAGCTCGTGCCCGACGCGCACATTGCTAAGCAAATTCGCGAGCATGTCGTGGCGATAGAAGGTACACTTTGTCACTTTATTCTACGCTTGATAATATTAACAGATACTTGCTGTGGTTGCATCGCTCACTCGTGCAGTGTGTAATGATAATGATATATATAATTTGATTATATCAATTTTGTGATAAAAGTTATGTTAATATGTAATAATGTAAGTTTGCATTCATCTAGATTCCTTCGTTAACAGCCATGAATGGACATTGGCGAGAGATGTCCCGGAATTACATTTGGGAATCATTGGTTCCTCGGATTCAGGAAAGTCGGCTCTGGTTCATAGATATCTTACTGGCTCTTTTATGCATGAGGAATCACCAGAAGGTGGTCGCTTTAAAAAGGAGATTTTTATAAATGATCAGAGTTACCTTCTCTTGATCAGAGACGAAGGTGGTATACCAGAGGCTCAGGTACACTTGTTTTGTATATTCTTTCATTTGCCAATACTGGCTTTTAGTTTCATTAATAGATTGAACAATAATGAATATATCTGTTATAGTTTTCAGCCTGGATAGATGCTTTATTACTTGTATTCAGCTTAGAAAATGAAGAGAGTTTCTCTATAGTTTGCAATTTTTATAATAGAATGTGCTCCTTCCGGAATATGTCAGAAGTACCAAAAATACTTGTAGGCGTACAAGGTACATATGTCGGAGGCAGATATGTAAATTTTGTAAAAATTTCTTTTTTTATTGATTTTTTTTTAGATTTGCCTTCTTTAATGCTGTATTTATTTTATAGATTCGATTAATGACAGCAATCCTCGTGTCATAAAAGATGTCAGACCGCGAAAACTGGCTTGTGATTTAAGATGCCCTTATTATGAAACTTGTGCTATTTATGGTTTAAATGTTGAAAGAGTATTTCAAGATGGTAAGAATATTCATCCTGAAAAATAATCAGATATATATTAAAACATGATATTTCTTTATTATATTAATATTAACTAACTGCACTAATGATAGAAAAATTTCAGTGTGTCAGAAAATTATACAGAACATATTGATGAAAAATTGTATTTCTTTATGTTAATATTAATTAACTGCACTAATGATAGAAAAATTTCAGTGTGTCAGAAAATTATACAGAACATATCGATGAAAAATTTTTCCTGCGATGTGTGTCAACATACCACAGAGAATGATGTTAAATTCACAGTCCCTACTGTTACTAAGAACATACAACTTCATAACAAGGAGACAGAGACTACGAATTCATTGAAAGTAAATGTGTGTCAATTTATCTTTCAACAAATTGTTAAAAGTCGAGATCGTTAAAATATAAATTTTTTGTCTTTCAACAGATTTCAGAAAAAGACGAAGATTGTCGATCAATTCATAATAGTTCTATGCCAAATGATTCGTCATTGCTGAATGATAATTTTCATAATATGCAGAATCAACATGGAGAATTGCGTTCATCAATTTTAACACCAACTACTATCAGGTTTGAATAATATGCATCTTTTTAATGTGTATTCTATTTTTCTATCTCTTTCAGTACATTTGATGGTTATTTTTTTATTTTTCAGGAAATTTAGAAGAAAATCGAATATATTTACGCCTTCTAAGAAAGAGAAATATATGGGCGAAATGGGTGTTGGTAGAGAGATACCAGTAAAACAAGGTTATTTGTTTAAACGAAGTAGCAAATCATTGAAGGAATGGAAGAAGAAATATGTCACGTTGTTAGAGGATGGTCGCTTGACGTATCATTCGAGTTTACATGTAATTATCATATCTATCTATATGCTTTATTATTTAACGAATTTATGCAATTTATTATAAAAAGAGATTTTTTAGGATTATATGAATGATACTAATGGGAAGGAAATACTCTTGCAATATGTTACTGTGAAAGTACCTGGCAAAACGCCGAAAGGTTCCAAATCATATAATGCTCAAGGTATTACACCTCATGTATTTCACATTTTAATATATTTTTTATACACACATGTGTATATATTCGATTCTTTTAGAAGATAGTTTTGAGTTTTCCATTATCTCTTTGGAGAACAAAACTTGGCACTTTGAAGCAAACAACGCCGAAGAACGGGACAGCTGGATTACCGCGATTGAGCAGCAAATATTATCCAGTTTGCAGAACAGCGACGGCGATAAGAAAAATGAAACTGACGCGTTTAAAATGCATTGTATAAAAAACAAAGTTTCGGGGAATGATGCATGTGTTGACTGCGGTGCGCCGAGTGAGTAAATTTTCATCAATTACCGTACGAATAATGAGTCTCATGACGATGAAATGTACAATTTTCACGATAACATTACTTCAGATCCGGATTGGGCCAGCCTTAATCTGGGCGTGCTAATGTGCATCGAATGCTCCGGTATCCATAGAAACTTAGGTTCGCATATATCCAAAGTACGATCCTTGGATCTGGATGACTGGTCGTAAGTATGATACAAAGTCTCGCCGCGTGTAACTACATGCTCGATTAACCCTCGTCTCATGTCATCGATGTTTGTTATTTTACGCATCTTTAACGACGGCTTTAGCGCAGGTCACCTAAGCGTCATGTTGGCTCTTGGCAACGACATAGCGAACAGTATCTGGGAGTATTGTTTAAACGGAAAACAAAAACCTGTTTCGGATTCGTCTAGGGAGGAAAAGGAGCAGTGGATTCGGTGGAAGTACGAAGACAAACTTTTCCTACCGCCGATCAATCCAAACATATCTTTAGGAAAACTGCTCATCGATTCGGTTTGCCGGTAAAGTATCTCGTTTAACCGAACGCAGAACTTCGGAAGTTAATTAAATATATGACATCTCGTGATCTTATAATTTTGAAATATATAGGGGAGACATGAGAGCGTTTACCTTATGTCTCGCTCGCTGTAATTACGAGGACATCAATATATCGGTCAGCACGGAAGATCTGAGAACACCATTACATCTAGCATGTGCAACCGGGAATCTAGCAATGGCACAACTTTTAATATGGGTATGTATCTTTCTTTTTTATTTATTTAAAACACGTGCTCGTTATCGTATGCTGTAACGCTTGGTTGTCGTGAATTTTGCAGCATAAAGCGAATCCGCAGAATTTGGATCATGAAGGACGAACGTGCATGTCGTATGTGCGAGCTCTGGAAAGAACGCTCGATAACTCATCCGATTCTATGGAAATGCAAAAACTACTCGAGGTATTGGAACAAGCCAGTGTCTCCGGGATGGATGACGTAGACACGTCTCAGTATTAAAGTTCAAAAAAAAAGATATGCCTTAATCACCCTGCCTGCATTTTACGCAATGAAATACGTTGTTGATACTATGTACTTACAAACCAATGCTTTGTTTAGCGACTCACTAGCGAAAGGAAGGAGGTTTTATCGCTTTTAAAAAATATTTATTCGAAAGAACTACCAAAATACATTGAACGAAATTGAATTATGTAATAACAATCAATTTGAAGTATTAATTTTATACTCTGTGAAGAATTTTTATTGCATGTAACAAATTCATTTTAATATCAATTATGAAATTCATCTCGAATTGAACGAGAAATTTTAAATACGATATACTTTTGTACATTGAAATCTTAAAAAAAAAGACCACTGCAATACGATAATTCGATAAGATTTATGTCAATCATGGAGAATGACTAATAGCATGCTCGAGTGTATATTGTCGATGACTGAGAGTACAAACACTCATAGATGTAGTTATATTTATACATCTAATACATGTAACTGTATTTGAAAAGAGATTGCTTTTATAATTTTATTTTATTGATTATTAAACAATCACATCACATACCATGTCCCGTTTATTCAAAATTGTATTTCTAAAACTCTAATTTCTGATTTTTTCATATTCAAGAATATTTTATAGTTTTCTACATTTCATCGATGACGATGTTGCGCTTATGCCGTGAACCATTTCTTCTTGTACATCTACATCATCTGAAAGAAAAAAAAAAATTATTAAATTAATATTTAAGAGAATTCAATCTTATTATACGGCACGTAATTTTTTTTTTATTTTTTATCGATATAATTTTGCTTTACCAGTAGAAAATAAATTTATTGGAAAAATAGGCAGTTTGCTATAGTAAGTGGTAGTCGTTAGTTTTGATGCAGCAGAATAAGATGAAATCGAAGCTCTCCATACAGAAGGATCTCTGAAATGAGACAGATGTTTTTACATATAAATTTTTGTCTATATCAATATTTATTTATACTAACAATACTACCACAACGTGAAACTTTACATTTTATTCATGTTGTTAGCTAACATATTAGGTAGAAGCACTGTCAATGTAAAGATTCGGTTGTTAAGCTCATTATAATGCTGCAAAGGAGACTCGGAAACAAATTTTTTATAAGCATAAGCAAATAAACTTTGCAAATTTTCAGTTGAACATTCCAGATGTCCTTCAATAAGCAACATGCACTCTAGACAGATATGAATTTGTGCTAACGTAACCATTTTTTTCCTGCAAGTAATAAAATCGCAATTAATATCAACTGAATCTAATCTATTCAGTTTATAGAGTATTTCTCTCTTCTCTCTATATTTTTATTACCTATAATTCTCCGTGTTGAAGATTCCGAAAGATACATTGTTTAGTTTCTGTCGTATGTCACATAAATTGATAAGTTGTGCTCCTCTCAAGATATGTAAATAATCTCGGGCAAGTTTCTTAAATCCCATATCCACAATAAGTTCCAATGGTATACTTCCCATTAATAAATGAGATATTGTTTCTTGATGATGTAGATTATAAAGATGTTTCACAAATCTCGTTGAATTCGTGTCGTTTATCTAATAAACATACCAAAATATTTTTACAAACTTTTTTAATCATAAAAAATTATAATTGACATAAACTTGAATATGTTTTCTTAATCACCTGTGGTGTGAATTTATGCTCAAGAATTTCTTTTAGAACTGTTTCAATATAATTTGTCATTTGTGGATATTCTGATGATTCTTCACATGTAAGAAAATAAATGATTAAATAAAATAACATATATAATAAATAATAAAAAGAATTTTACTTATAAGTATTTCCCATAAGAAATCGGTAAAATCCATGTCATATCTCAGAGAGACGCTTTGTACTCGCTCGAGTAGTTTTATGTCAATCTCAGCATCCTCCTTATTTACATGATTGATTTTTTAAAACTCCTATTGATAGACTTCCGAAAACTAAAATCTCCATTCAATAAAAAATTTAATTTTTCGATTACAATGTCGTGTTCCTAAAACATGGATATAAGCTAAAATATAAAAAAATAACAATAGAAAATATGACTTTTTAGAAAATATTACTAGAAAGATATTTACCTCCAAATATGGTGTTGCAAATTTTATTGGATTTTGTAAATTTACATTCTTCTTGTATTCATCTATCGTTGATAAATACTGGCTTAACAAAAATAGTTGACATCTCAATTCTTTTAATGGGCTATCCTTCCATGCGGCGTTTATTTCAACTATCTAGATACAGCAATATGTACATATATGTTTTTGTGTAAGATTTCATTCTTACATATCATATGTAAGAATGAAATCTTACACAAAAATTATTTGTACCAACTGTATGTACTATGTACCAAAGTACTTTTTGGCAGCCTTAAATCTAAGCTAGTTGAATATGTTTCGACACTAATGCTTCCTTCAAAATCACTTTTGACAGTTTTATTCCAATCAATTGTCTCTTGTCTTATTCCAAACACATCAACAGCATTGAATACAGATATCTTAATCTATAATATTTTAAAAATTGATTAAAGCTCTTAAATATTATAAAACAATTAAATCTAATGTTGAGTATTACATACATCCTGTTCTTGTGCAAGTGACTGTTTAAGATGTTCCTGTATAATCTTGTGACATTCATTTTTTATTGTTGTCATGCTTGTCATACCAGTTGAAACAGCTTCCAGTGTAGTAAACCAATCTTCAGAGACAATGGCACCAATAAGCCTGCTCTGCTTAAGATCTTTTCCATCACAGAGAGCTAATATTGGCAAAGTATTACTATCAAGACACTCCAGACATGCATTCAATGCAGTACTAAGAACAAATACAAATCTCATTGAAAACTTTTAATAGATAATAAAAACATCTCTTATAAATTCTATTGGATATTATTGAACATTAGAAATATTTCAATAATCTTATGCACCTTGCATCCGTTCTACTTAGTGGCAAATACAACTCTTCTTCTTTCCGCCAGTTCTGTTTTGTAATTATGATGGTGTCATCAAACTCGCAATTACCAAACGAATACTCCAGAGGCGAACCGCTGATGTCATGTCCTAGAAAATAGTTTATATTTCATATGTTTCTAAGAAAACATAAGTAAATTTAAACACGTGTTTATTACTCATCGAACATTCATCGAAGCTTTGTTCATTTTTCTCGTAATCCAGAACTCGCGTACCAGGAACCTGAAGCAAATTGCAGTGATCATCATTACAAAATCACAGGACAAAAATAAATTTTGTATTTTTTCACTTACATTTTTGTGAAGAACGATGTACGAATTACCCTTGAGATCTGGAAATAACTCGTCCACGTATGATAATCTAACTTTGCTGGCTCGAACGTGCGATTGCAAGGCATCTTTTAAAAGTTCCATTTTACTACATTAAATTAAACGGCATCAAAGATGGCGCGTGTGAGTGCGTCCGGTCTGCAATAAGTAATTTAAGCCTTAAGCCATAAGAAATGGACGAATTATAGTCGAAAAATAGGAGACTAATCGACTGTGATTGGTCAATTTTTTATGGCTTAAGGTTTAAATCACTTATTGTAAATCGGAACTCATGCGTCATGTTTAATCTTTATTCCGTATTTTTATTTCCTAAAATTAATATTTATTCCAAATATTTCTCTATAATGCGCAAGGTCTGAATTACACATTGCTAACACTTTGAAAGATCTAGAAGCGCTTAAATTTGAATATTTTTGATAAGACATCTGTTTTTCTTCTTTCAATTTCTAATATACAACATTGTAAATAAACTTATCCTAGCAGATATAAAGTAACTTCAAAATCGATTTAATTAATAATTAACTAGTCGAATACTTTTTCTTTATTAACATGAATAAAATCATCACTTTTATTAGGTGGTAATGAATCATGTATTTAAAAATTATTTTAAAATTATTTATTATTTAGATTATTAAAAATTACTTATTTCTAAAAATTTCTAACAGTTAAATTATCAATTAAGTTAATCGGAGTTTAATCAAAATCATTCACAATACCGTAATATAACTGTAATTAAAAAGAAAATAAAAAAAAACTGAATTCAATTCAAAGCCGTTTTAATAATTGGGTTTATAATTTTAAAAAGTTTAGAATTATAATTTTTTTTTTAATAATAAAGTTTTTTGATCATATTGATTTTATCTCTATACGAAAAAAGAATATGTTCATGATAAAATAATTAAATTTAATTTAAAATTATACTATAATACTTGTCAGATGCATGACCTTATTATATCTAAGTTGTTACCATATGTTGTCATTAAAATTCACATCATCATATACTTTTCCAGATAAAATTAAAAAAATAAATGTTGAATCGCAGAATAACTTGTAAAAAAAGATTAAGATTAAGATTAAATGATTTCTGTTTCTTCGATATTTAAATCTTCTTGCAACAAGCTTCATGTTTCTGAATTCGGTTGGGCATGAAAGTTCTTTTGCATTTTTTACATGGAATTAATTGTGCAGTGTGCTCTTCCCAATCAACTTTTTCTTCTTTAATATCTGAAATTCATTATACATGGCGGTTTAGAAGATAATATTTGTACTCAACTAGACTATTTATAGTTTATATTAAATTAACTTCTCTTAACCAATCCTCAATATTCTATAAGAAATGATATGGAGTTATTTCATATTATCTTAATTTTTATTACAATTAAAGTAACATAATAACATACCTCGGATTTCAGGGGATATAGCAATTTCTTCATTTGACTTAGAATACAATCGATGCTGAATTGTGTTCTCAGGCTCTTGTGGTTTTTCCAACTTCTTACTGTTCGGTGGTGTTCGTGATAACTGATATCTTGGTTTCATTGGATCAAATAATAACTGTATATACATACAAAGATAAAATAAATAAAAAGATATTTATAAATTATCTTATAAAAAATAGTGAAATATAAATATATAGAATTATATCATATCTAATATGCATTTCATCTATATTTGACAGAGATTTCGAATTTTTAAAAACTATAAAAATTTGAATAGCATTTTGAAAGCAAGGAATAATAAGTCTCTATAAATATAAATAAAGAATCTTGAATTTGAACCTGATTATCGTTAATTCTTCCATCTTTTACATTTTGTACTTTCTCTATTGATTCTTGTTGTTCATTACTTTCTTTTTTCTTCTTTTCTTTCTTATGTTTTATATTAATGGTAATGATATCTGAATCTGTTTGAAAGTCTTTAATCATCGTGTCCTTTTCAAAACTGAAATTAATATCACTAAATTGCATCTCTTCCAAATCATTGTAGATTTCTTTTATATCTGGACTAAACAAGCCTTTATTGCTTTTAAGTTTTTCTTTATCTTTATTTTTTTGGTGTTTGGTGTCTTAAATGTTTCCATATCCTTTATCTTCACATTTTCTTTATTTTCTTGAATATAATTGGATTTCTATAAAATATTAAATTTTTTTTATTAAAGTTACTATCTATATATATATATATATAAAATAAAGATATTCTATATTCAAGTAACAATAGAAGCAAACAATGGATTACCTGATTTTGACATTTTTCATCATCACATCTACACGATAGGTTGCACTTGTTATTCTTTTTCATACAACCACATATCCGTGATGAACAATTTCCTTTACAGCCACAACCAGACTTTTCAGCACTTTTTGATATTGCCTGCTGAGCAAGATGAAGAGACTTATGATGTATATCGTCAGGCACATTGTTTTCCATATGCTTTCTTAAAACATTATTTTCAAGTTGCATTAGTTTCACTAGTTCCTCCAGCTTTGCAATTCTTATAGAACTGTCTAGAACGAAATTTTCTGTCTGTGTACCTATATTCTTCGTGTTGCTGAAAAGTTTAATTTTCCTTTCTCAGTCATTGCCACGACAAAGTAACGATAATTATATACTGCCATCGCGTGTTTCTTATTGGAAACAAAACAAATATGTTACTTCGAAAGTGGACCTGTTTCTCGTTTACCTGAGCGCCGAATTGACAGCTTTCGATTTCGTCCTTTTCATTCTCGTCTATACTCGAAGCAACCTGGCACCGTATTTACAGTCTACCGATGTGGAATGTCAAAAAGCTATTAGAATCCGATCTATACAGCTATCTAACAGCTGTTGACGACGTTTCGGCAACGGATTTAAACGGCTTTGGCGATTTCTTTTTAAATCAAACATATGAAGCGCCATCTGACTTGGAAGACCGCTAGAATTTGGATCAGAAGTTCAAAAACTCAAGTGTCCTATGTGTATCATTTTATTCTTGTTCGCCGAATATTAAATAAGAATAAAATGATACATAGGAAGCACTTGAATGATGTTTTTAAACGATAGTCCAATGTAAGCAGTGACATTCCATGTCGGTATCTTTGATCTTTGTGATTCCATCCATCTGATTCCGAAACCAGGAATACATAGGAAATAATAATAAATGTCCTATCTTAAATAATGGTCATGCTTACTACGTCAAACTCACTATTTTTATAACTGATAATTAATCGTAAACTATTTCGAATAGATTTTTTTTTTTAAAGCGGATAATATAAAAAGTAATTATAATAAAATTAAAAATAAAAAATTTTTTAAAGATAAAAAGACGACTCTTTGAAAAACTCTAATTAATACTAGGCTTTTATAATTTTATGATCTTAAATAAATTTATTATACTTTTATTTTATACACGCATTCTTTCGCGAAGTATCGCTATCGAATCTTGCTATCGATTTGATAACAAAATTCGATAGTATCGAATCTTGATGTCTTGATAATAGTATGAGTATCGATTCGATATTACTCGTTGCTGTAGTATCGATACTCGGAAGTTTCAGAAATCTAGATCCTAGATCCTATGTTGGAATTTTCTCGAAAGCCGGGAAAAGAGTTGTGACAACGGAACGCATTGCGCATTGACATTCACATTCGTATCGAGGTCTTCCTGCGAAAATTATCGTAACAAACAAGTCAAACGTTAAATATTCTTGAAATGTCACAGGAGACAGATCTGTTGCATTGCTATCATCGTGGCTGTGGGAAGAAATTTGATCCGAACAACAATAAGGATGGTAAGTTGCATATATATTTTTATAAACCGTAATTACCGTTTTATTTAATAACGACAAAAGTAAGTGTTCTTACCAATTTTCTCGCAGACGATTGTGTTCATCATCCGGGACAACCAGTATTTCATGACGCATATAAAGGATGGTCCTGTTGTAACAAAAAATGTACAGATTTTACCGAGTTCTTGAACATCAAGGGTTGCACGAAGTCAAAGCATTCGAACGTGAAGCCATCGGAACCGAAGAAACTTCCGGTTGACAAGTGTAATGTCGACGAAGTAATACAGGTCACTGCAAAGCCTTTAAGTAATGAAACGTTCTTAAAAAGACCTCCTTTCGACGCACCTCAAGTCACGTTATCGCCAACGATATCTCCTGCTCTCCTAGAACAAATTAAAGGATTGACAGCTTTAAAAAATGACAAATCAAGAGACAGTGTAGTACAAATAGGACAAACTTGTAAAAACAATGCTTGTAAAGGAATTTTCACAGGACCTGCTTCTAATGAAGAGATTTGCAATTATCATCCTGGTTCACCTATTTTTCATGAAGGCATGAAATATTGGTCTTGTTGTCAGAAGAAGACAACAGAGTTTTCTTCATTTTTGGAACAGCTAGGTTGTTCACAAGGCAATCATGTATGGTTTTCTACGGTATGCTATTTATAGATAAATTGAATAATATTGAGTAATATTGTTTCTTGACAATTGAAATATAAAGTCCATTTGTTCCAGGATATGGGAAAGAAGGCTCAGTGTAGGATGGACTGGCATCAAGCTGGATCATTTATAGTCGTTTCTATATTTGCAAAGAAATACCTGCCCAGTCAATCTGTTGTCAAATTAAATCCTATCCATCTGACTGTAGATTTATTCTTTATAGAAGAAAATTCGAGATATAATCTTGATATAGAATTAACAGGAGTATGTTTTAATTTTAGTATTTTAGTTTTTGATATATAATAATAGGACTAATTTATCATATTGCATTGTATTACATATATTTATTTTCCTTTCAGATTGTTAATGTCGAAGAAAGTAACGTAAATATGCTGCCAACCAAAGTAGAAATTAAATTAAAGAAGGCTGAACCTGGTTCTTGGACAAAGTTAGATGTTCCTAGAAAAACAAATCCAAAAAGTTCTGAAAATAATGAAAGCGTTTTAAATCTCAATACACAAATCGAAGCTGTGGATCTTAGTGATCTTTAAATGTTAATTAATTATTTAATTGTTAAAGAATGTATGGTAGAACCGACATAATTTACTTTTTTGTAATGATTTACTCGAGTTAGATTTTATTCAAAAGATATGAAGTTGTGTTGACCATTTTAGTTATAAAACTTTAATGCCATGTTAAAAACATGGAAAATTTCAATTTTCTTTTTTTGATAAAATCTGGAATATTCAAACTGTTTATTTATAGTATATTATATATATATATATTTTTTTAAGTAGAATTTAACTCCACTCACAGTTTCTAAAAGAAAAGAATTTAATAAACGTTTTGCATTAATGTCTCATGAATTTTTTCTTTCCTATAAAAGAAAACTTGTAAGAGTTGCATCTGCATCTGTGATAAATATATGTATAAAATTAAATCTATCTTTTGGAATTATTTTTTCATTCTGAATTTTTCTCAAGAACCATTATAATAGATATTTAATTTACGGAAGCTAATCTTGTTAAAAATAAAAAACAAGAATACAAAAGTTTTTATTTTAGTTTTTTAAGTTTTTAATTCATCCTTTACACGGCATCTTTTTTCAACCACTAACAGTCGCTATGATTGGAGGAAGACAATGCATAAAGGACGAATTAAATTTCGTAACTGTATACACTAACCTTCTTGACTATGAGAAGCATGCATTTAATTGTTTATCTTACAGTTGATTGAGTCAAATCAAATAATGTTGACAACCAAGAAATTGCGGGTAAGTAATTTATTCATTAATTCATTAAGAATATAGAGAGACATATTGACAAATTAATGCACGTTAGAGAATATTTTTTTTTACTTTAGATCCTGGCGCTTCACGGATATATGCAATCAGATGTGATTTTCAGTGCTAAGTTAGGTTCACTGAGGAAAGGATTTAAAAAAGAAATAGATTTCACTTTTATTAGAGCGCCACATAAAGTACCATCTAAGAATGATACTGGTCAAGAAGATACAGATGAAAACGGTATGAAAAAAATACTAATAAAATTATCAAGTTTCTTGTAGTATCATTTTATGCAATAATTGCATTATGGTTTGATAGGCATTTGTATTTAATGATTCCATTTAATAATATCATTTTATCTGTGTTACTTATTGAATGTTGAGAAAGAAATGATATTTGTGTCGATTTGTATTAGAGTATACTCAATATCATTTAACATTCTATAAATTACAGGATATGGATGGTGGTTTAATACGGAAGATCATGTATTTAAAGCTACTGTACCTAGTGAATTGTGTGTAGGATTTGACAACAGTATATCTTTAATCAAGAAGACATTTTCGGAACAAGGCTCTTTTGATGGCATATTGGGTTTCTCACAGGGAGCTGCTTTTGTTAGTATATTATGTGCTATGAAAAAGAAGAAAAGTAAGTTTATAAAATTATATGCATACATATATGTGTGTGTGTGTGTGTGTGTGTGTACCTACCATTTCTATATATACATATATAATATTAATGCACATGTAATATAAATGTAATTTGCAGTATTGCAAATTGAATTTGACTTTGCCATTCTGATATCTGGATTCAAATCATTATGCGCACCTCACGCGAAATATTATAATGAAGAAATTGATATACCTTCTTTACATATTTATGGAGAAAATGATCAAGTAATTCCAACAGGTATGATTATGATTTATTGATTTAATTGATATATTGAATGTCGAAAATTGCATTTAATATTGTTTTATTCCTAATTCAAGTACTGCTTTTTACAGTAATGGCAGAGCAAATCAGTTGCCTTTTCCCAAATAAAAAAGAGATACGGCATGAAGGTGGCCATTATGTACCAAGTAAAAAAGATATTTATAGGGATTTTATAATAGAAATGCTTAACAAATATAAAAATTCGAACAGTTAACAATGACTTTCTTGTTTTATTACTGAATCTCATTCCGCTATTTCAGCATGTAGTTTTATTGAAGAAAACGTAGATGTGTACGTGTACATGAATAATAAGTAAATAAATTACGTACATATGTGAATAATAGATAAACGCCAGAGGATTTTTAAAAATATTAAATAAAGATATAATTATATATATATTTTTTGCTGTCATGTAGCATGACATTTCTTATGAATGTTACAAAATTTTTTTATCATAACATACAGTTAAATGGTGTTGCTTATAAAACTGTATAAGTTAGACGATAATTAATAGGATACAATATCAAATAGAACTAGAAATTAATTGGAGCATTCATATTTTACAATTAATGTTTATTATATATCGTCTCAGATCCAGTCTGCATTAATGCCAATAGGAAGTGACTTTCAAAAATTTGCAATTTAGATATCCATATTAGGATCACATTTGTTAAATAAGAAACACAATGCATATTTTACAAAACATTGCATCTATTTTTCCTTGCAGTGCAAGGAATATATATATATATATATATATATATTTGTACAAATTACTAAGTTAAAGACACAGCTAGAGAAACATTCAGTTTGAAGATATTGAAAAGATTAAATTTAATTATTTAATTATTTAAAATAATTAAGCTATACCTGTAACTTAAACATAAGCTGAGGTATTTATATTTGCATTTTGACCATAACAAAACACTTATGTTAATAATTTTATAGCTATATAAATTTGGTTTGATGCGCAATAGTGAGCAGAATTTTTTTATTATATCACTTTCAGTCTAATAATCAAGTACAAATTAGTACTCATCACATGTCCTTGCACACATGACTGAAAATTGCGTGATTATATAGCATCTTCATTAAATTGAATATTGAAAAATTTTGCAGCTCTGAATATTTGCGTAAAGTTGTATGCATCTAATATTTATATGGTATTCAGAACTGCAGTATTCACATTCTAATATTCACATACATAGTACGTAAGATTCCCTTTCTTCCTCCTTTATTCAGAGCCGCTCTGACGATTACTAAATTGTGTAAAACACAAAACTTCATCGTCAATTGACACAATATCATTTGCATTATTTCAAGGGGACTGTTCTTGACCATTATTTTCTTGAGATTTCATAACATCGGGGAGATCTGGTGGTAGTGAGAATGGTGTCATTTCGAGAGGTTCAAACTGACCATCAGGCTGACGCAGAGCTAAACCAACTAATGCGGGACATTGTGCTTTCGCAGTTGCTGATGTCAGCCCATAATCTTGTAGAGTCTTGCTATCAGACATTAACATGTTCTCTTTATTAAATAGCTGCTGATTTGCCGGTGGTACTTTCATTATACCTAGAAGTATATTGCAATTGTATTATTACTAATAATTTTAATAAAAATTTTTTAACAATTTCCAATAATATTAATTAGTAAATTATTATTATAGATTATTATTATTATAATATTCAATGATGATATCAGAACTATGGGAGATATGTTAAAAATTATCTATTAGTAATAAGTATAAGATTCTAAATATACAAAATTATATAGTTAAAATAATTTTAATCATAATTCATTTATAGAGATTATTTAAAACATATTTCCCTAATAAAGCTGTCAGTGTAAAATATATTATTTTTAAGAGTTTAGTGTTTACTATATTCCATTCTGTAATTTATTTCAGTGTTTATTATTTTCCATTCTGTAATTTCATTTCAGTTATTTGTATTAAATGTCTGCTATATAATCCATTATTTTCTGAATCCTCTCATATTTATTCGATATCATTCAAAATTTTCTTATTCTAAATATTTTGTATTTGTCCTAATTTTAAAACTAAAATATTTTAAGTAAGAAATCTTTCATCGCAGGATGATCAGGGTCATACATAATTTCTTATTCTTCTTGTTGTGTCAATTACAAGTTTTATATCAAATATTGTCACCATACTATATTTTATTCTCTAGCATCACTATACTTTCAGTAATTAGATCTAATTCTACATTCACTCATCAAACCAAAAGACAGCTTTATCAAAGAAATGATCGTCCAATTGTGAATTGCCAGGTGACAAATCGAGCAAAAATCTATCGTTACAAATACAACCGTACTTATGATGCATACTTCTTACCTTCGATCATCTTCTTCAGTTCGAGAACCGTGGTGTCATCCTTTGCATCAGTAAATATTGTTAATTTTTTTCGCCTGATCATTAAAAAAACATCCTGCAATGGGAAAAATCATGAATGCATTTGAAGGTTAATCCACTCAAGACACTGAATTATTGATTGATCAAAGGATCAATAACGAATTAAGGGCTTACCATTTCGTAAATTTAATTATATACACCTAATATTACAATATAATGCTAAAATTAATATATTGCTATTGGGATACGAGGCCTTATCTTATCCCTTAAATTGTTATGTTTACTAGCAGACCTTCGGGATACACCAGACCAATCAGGCCGCATGCAGTCATTCCAGATTGTGAAATTTTCCAACGCATGCGCGTTCTTTTCCTATTCTTATGTGCATGATCATAGGAACTTTTCAACCATAGATCTTATATTATTAAAGACATCTTTTAAATTCTAGGTTCAAGTTGATAGAGCGAGAGAGCATATCTTAAATCCTATTATTCTAATAAGCCAGCCGTCTGTCTTAAGTCAGCAGCACACGATGCTTTTTTTCCTGCTGGTTTGCTAGCTGAATTTGCTTGCTGAGCTCTTGTCTTTGATTAGTATATTCTTTTAGATTTAAAAAAAATATAGAAACAGAAGGACAGAACATTACTCTTTCGCTCTATCAACTCAGATCTCAATTTTAATCAGAGCCTATCCAATGCTATAAAATTTATGAATGGAAAGCACCCGAAGAGAACCAATCATAGAACTGGACAAATAATGGTGGGCGGCGAATCAACAGCGTCGGAGCAGGTGATAGTGGCGTCGCCCGGCGGGCGGAAACGGAGTAACGGCGAGCGATCACTGCGCGCGTGTACAGAGCGCATAGAGTGTGTGCGATCGTATGCGTGTGTCGTCGCTCGACGGATGGACGAGCGGACGTGTTGAACGTGTTGCGGAAAGTGGCTGCGGAGTGGAGAGAGTGCGCGGAGAATTTCTCGGTGACGTTATCGCGCGACACCGCGTACATCGCGTATGCACGTACTACGTACGGCGGATCCGCGCGTGTTCAAGTGAATGGGGAGGACGAGGACGGCGCAGGCAGAGGCACACAGGTACGGAACACCGCCGTTGTCCCTCCCATGGAATTAGATTACCGCCGTGTATGACGGACCGGACAGAGGTCCGGATTGATGTTGCGAGACAGTGAGAGATATACGCGGCAAGTGCGCGCCGTGGCCGCGACGAGAGTAGTGTCCCGCGAGTTCGCTCATACGCCTAATTGACGACTCCCGACACCCTCGCGTGCGTGCGCGCGCGCGCGCGCGTCACGGCGTCTGGATCTCGGATCTTCCGTGCTTTTTCTCTCTCTCCCCTCCCCTTTCTTCTTGTCCGTCCGTCCATCTATCTGTCTCTCCCTTTCTCTAAATCGTTTTTCATGCGTGTGCGGTCGCGTCTGTCTCTCTGATGTCTCCCGATGCTGCACGGAGGCAGTAGTAGCGGGCTGCGACGACGACGACAACGACTACGACTACGACACTACTATCGCAGAGCCTATCGCCGTCATCGTCGTGTTGTGTCAACGTAACCCACGGCAGCGACAGCAACACCACCGCCACCACTAACACTGCCATCACCAGCACCACTCTACCGACGCCTCTTCAGTAATTAAACCAAACAAAATGGACACCGAGATAACGATTGAGCGAACATTCGTGTGGTAGTCCTCCTCCCACCCCCTGTGGTCCTTCCTTCTATCTCACTCTCCGTCTCCGTCCGTCCCTTGTCGTCCGCTTTTTCCCCACCTCGACGTCTACCTGAGTTTCTTTTTGTTTTCTATAGATGGACTTTGGAAAAAAGAGATGGGATCGCCGTTTGTACAATTGTGAGTCCTATTCTCTTTACCGAACATTAATATCAAGAGTAGGTCGTTTCTCATTCGTAAGTGCTATAACTCCGCATGCACGATGCACACACACATACCGGCCCGTTTTCACTGGCTCCGTTTTCCTTGGCACTTTTGTTTTTTCCCCGCTTCTGAATGTAACGTTCGATATATAACGTTCCGAAATAATATCACTTCTCTCAGCTCGACCATGCGAAATGTAAGGTGAGTGCAGACTAAGAATGGCAGATCTTCCAAAAAACTAGTATTTCTCTCGGCATGTGCAAGAATTTATCTTTCGTTTAAATACCTCAGGTCATCCACCCGCACAAGCGTTTTCCCGTATCGTTTACGGTTTTACACAGAGTTGCAGCAATTAAAAGTAATCGCATTTGTGAGATTACGCCGCTTGAATTTCTTTTTTTGGCTTATAAATTATTATATTGTGATTTTTGGTGTATATTGACACCGCACAATATGGGATTTTACATTCACGGACGTGAACGTGATGTTTGTTTCTTTAAAGAGAACGCGTGCACGATGTCGTACGTGCATATGTACGTTTCTATGTAATAACAGTACGATTAAATAAGATATATATACGACATTTTATCGAGACTCGAATCCCATTATGCGTATGCATATATCAATAAAATCCTGATGCACGAGCATCGTCGACAAATTTTTCCTACGTTCGCCCCCGTAAGTGACGATCTCTCGCGAAATCCTGGAGGTAGGATCTACATGGTATCTCCTTGGACACATTCAAATAAAGATAAACGAGAATGTATGGCCAACGTACGACCGTTGTAACGAGCGTTTCGAACGACGGTCCCTTTGAGAGTTTCTCCTAAAAAGAAAT